TTAAAAACATCCATTTCCCGCTAACATTTAAGCGCCGCTGAGGTTTGCACTCATTAAACAGTGGTGAAGTGCGGTAAACTGATGACCTCCACGGCCAATCACAGTCATTTCTGTTAATCACCTGTGAATACTATGGGAAATCAGCGGTGTTGCGTTCAACAGTGCTTAAATGTTAGTGGGAAATTGACGGTTTTTCTAAATTTCAGTTCTTAAATTCAGTATCGTGACAGGTCTAATATAGTAAAAGAATCAGTTCATTAGCTTAAGTTTGATAAATGGCATCTAAAACATGCGTTTGGTAAAGAAAACGTTAGCTAACTAGTGCTATTTCCTTGACTTAGCTGGAAATGAGCTCTGATATCCTTTTTTATTTTCACTTTCCATTCAGACAGACCTTTGGGTCACTCGGAAGTCAGTGAAACTATAAATTTGTTTCACTTTCTCTTCTGATAAGATAAACAGCCAGGTACACAACATTCCTGTGTGACTCAGGCTATACTTGCGGGTTTCTTCCCACCACAGCCACGATTTCGCTTTTGTAATGGCGGCTGCGTGAAATCAGTCTATAGCCTTCACATAGACAAACAGCTCAGTGCTCAGTGACAGACAAGAATGAAGCAGATCTCTCTTACTACAGTGAGAACTTTCACAACGGTTATTTGATATACTTGTTGTGGAGTTAATTTAACAGTGAGCCTCCGTTATAAACTATACTACATTATGTTGTGGCATTCTTAAAAAATAGTTGTAAATAATACACTAATACACTTTAGTATGGTTAAAAGGCATTTTCGTATAAATTACTATTGAATTTTAGTTGAATTACTGGTGCGCGAGCATTTTGAAACAGTACAAATGTATGTTATTATTGCCTTTTCTCTCGCTATACACATTAATAGCACACGAGGGCGTTTAAACCTTTGAATCAAAGTTCGAAGCAGTCACGTGTGTATAGGTGGAAATTAAGCTTCGGAAATTGTTGATCATGTAATTATGGCAAAACAAATCAAGCTCCGGTACTTCTTCACTGCCAGATGTATCTTTTTTTTTTGATACATGCTTCGGAGCCTTGCTGCACAACGTCACATCACTACTAATTATTCTGACTCTATATATTTCCACACCACTAGATGGCACTGTGCTGAAACCGTTTTTCCCAAATCATGGTAATAACCTTAAAATGCGGTCTAAATATGCTAAAACCTTCATGAGAAATAACCCTATGTCCTAATCAGCTGCATGTTCTCCATTTAATTGTTGCAAATGCACACAGACTTCAAAAACACTGATTGAAAACACTCCTTTATCTGTGTGCTAAATTTACCCAGGTGGTTCTATGGCCTGCCATTGACTTCAAGGGAGTAAAAAGTTGACGATTAGCAAGAAATTATTGGTGACTTTCAAAAAAGAGGGAAAAATTTTTGACGGTAGAAGCTGAGAAAGATGCAGAGAAAGATCACCTCGTCAGGAAACGCTCCAGATTTATGATGTTAATAGTTGTGGAAAAACATGTCATTTGTGGTAAAGGGTCCACCGGAGACGCCCTTATTGCTTTTAGTGAGGATCGCTGTCAACCCTTTGTGACCTTTGGCATAAACATCCAAACAGAGCGCGGAAAACGGTGTTGTAATGAATAAATAATTAAGAAGTAGCAGGATCAGCACAGCAGAGTCTCTTTGCAGTTTCCCCCTCACAGTTCCTAGAATAGAGTTCAAAGAGGAGAACGCAACGACATGGAAATGTAAATGAAGCTCCGCTGTAGAGAAAATAACAGCTTGGTTTTCCTGATCTCTCGCTCCCTGCGGAGTGCAGACAGTCGATAAGAGAAAAGCACAAAGAGACGGAAACAACTATTAAGATTTTGTCTAAAAGATAAAGTCTCGGAGTGGAAACTGGGGCTCCATTTTTCAGCATTTTTCAGTTTGTGTAGGGTCAGACATTTCAGAAAACTCTTACACTTTGTGTAAATGCTCGGGCGTTGTAACGCAATGTTGGGTCAAATATGGACAAATCCAAAATATTTGAATTACACTTTAATACCCATTGTTGAGATGCCACAACTCAACAATGACTGATGACTGAGGGAGACTGAGGGAAAGATGACTGAGGGAGAGGAGTTATTTAGTAAGCTAAATTGGCCACAGTGTATGGGTGTTTCTGAAGGGCATCTGCTGCATTAAACATAAGCCGGAATAGTTGGCGATTCATTTCACTGTGGCGACCTCTGAAATAGAGACTAATCATTCATTCATTCATTTTCTTGTCGGCTTAGTCCCTTTATTAATCCGGTGTCACCACAGCGGAATTAACCGCCAACTTATCCAACAAGTTTTTACACAGCGGATGTCCTTCCAGCCGCAACCCATCTCTGGGAAGCATCCACACACACATTCACACACACTCACACACTACGGACAATTTAGCCTACCCAGTTCACCTGTACCACATGTCTTTGGACTGTGGGGGAAACCGAAGCACCCGGAGGAAACCCACGCGAAGGCAGGGAGAACATGCAAACTCAACACAGAAACGCCAACTGAGCCGAGGTTCGAACCAGCGACCCAGCAACCTTCTTGCTGTGAGGCAACAGCACTACCTACTGCGCCACTACCTCGCCCTGAAATAGAGACTAAGTGGAAGGAAAATGAATGAATGAATGAGTATACTGACAGCATTTGCATGTTTATCTCTGAGAGCGTATGAGATCTAACACATAAAACCCAAAAACTCATTTCTCACGGATCGATGGCTGTTTCTGTGCCCTGCGTGATTCAGCAATGTAAAGATGAAGAGTATTCCTGGAGGTTACTGACATTTACTGTGTTAAACAAATTGAAAAGTAACATGCTTATTTGTCTGGCAGCATGTTATAGTTATAGATTACAAATTAAAGTGTCCTCATACTGTAAACACACACACACACACACTCACACGAAGAGAGCCACAGACCATTTGTCCACTTAATCCTCCATTAGTTGCTCAGTGGCGCCAGTCATGCTGGCAGGGAAGCCCTTGTCACACACGATGTCATCAAAGTGAGTCACAGCTGGTGAAGTCATTTCCTCCCGACAGTCTACCATCATATGCACCAGCATGGCCTCATTCCCCCATCTCTCTCTCTCTCTCTCTCTCTCTCTCTCTCTCTCTCTCTCTCTCTCTCTCTCTCTCTCTCTCTCTCTCTCTCTCTCTCACTCTCTCTCTCTCTCTCTCTCTCTCTCTCTCTCTCTCTCTCTCTCTCTCTCTCTCTCTCACTCTCTCTCTCTCTCTCTCTCTCTCTCTCTCTCTCTCTCTCTCTCTCTCTCTCTCTCTCCCTCCGGTGACCTTGTTTGTGTAATTGGCCAGTTTAGTGTTTTGGGGATTGTTCTCCCCTAAGTGCTGTCCGAGATCTGAAGAGCATTATGGGTCATAATGAATGTCAGCTGGCACACGATTATTCCAGTTTGGTTTCATCAAGATATTTATGTCCTGAAGCAAAACTGCACTATTGAGCAGTTATTGATGGTATCATTTTACACTGGGTAATACAATCACTCAGACTATCATTTCTCTCTCTCTCTCTCTCTCTCTCTCTCTCTCTCTCTCTCTCTCTCTCTCTCTCTCTTCTTGAGTTGAATGTATATTTGTTAGTTGTGGTATTTAAAATAGTATAAAATAAAGTAGATTAACAAAAATCCCTCTGGCACAAAATAAAATGCCAACTTTTATATTTTATTGTAAGACCATTATACAGTGTGGGAAATAAGTACTGAACACATCATGGTTTTTTCCTGAGAATAGCATTTCTAAAGGAGCTTTTGACATGGAATTGAACCAGATTTCAATAAAAACCAGAACAATTTTAACATAAAAAGAAAACAAGACCAAAAAAATCTGAAATATTATGTGTAATAACAATGGAATGGCACAAGGAAAAAGTACTGAACTACTATAATGTGTTTAATACTTTATATAAAAGGCTTTTGTTGGTGATGGCAGCTTAAAGACGCCTCTCATATGGAGAATGAAGTCACATGCATTGCTCAAGTGTAAGTTTCTCGCAGACTTCAGCAGAGTAAAACAATCTTGATGGGTCTCGTCTATCAAATCTGAGCTTTATTTTGTATTCTCTATTGGATTCAGGTCAGGTGATTAGCTGGGCCATTCCACAGCTTTATTTTCTTTTCCTGAAAGCATTTGAGAGTCTCCTTGATTGTGTTTTAGATCATTTCCTTGCTGAAATGTCCACCCTGGTTTCATCTTCATCACTCTGCTAATGTAGATGTTGGACTGAAGCAGCTAATACTCATTAACACTGATGATAGTTGCTGAAGAACTACTGGGAGTTTTCAGCTGCTATCTGGGCTTTCCATCCCTTTCCACACCTTCCTTTCTTCATGTGTTCAATACTTTTTCCCTTTTGTCATTTCATTTTAATTACACAGAACTTAATTTGTAAACTATTCAGATTTGTTTTTTTTTTTGCATATATGAATTTCTTTGGTTGTTGTTACCAACATCTGATAAAAATTTCAAGTCAGCAGCACCTTTAGAAGTGTTTTCTAAGAAAAATGGTGATGTGTTTAATACTTATTTCCCCCACTGTACATGAACAGGAGGACTAAATTTGGATGACTTGATGGATGAAATCTGATGTTGGCTGACTTGATGAGGAAAGACTGATGAACTTCTATTTCTTACTATAAGAAATAATTATTATATTATTATAGAAGTTCTAAAATTGAATTATTGCGTTAGAATTGGCGACGCAGTGGCGCAGTAGGTAGTGCTATCTCCTCACAGCAAGAAGGTCGTTAGTTCGAGCCTCAGCTGGGTCAGTTGACGTTTCTGTGTGGAGTTTGCATGTTATCAAAGCTAAACAAGTTGGTGGTTCATTCCGCTGTGGGGACCCCGGATTACTAGAGGGACTAAGATGAAAAGAAAATGAATGTGTTAGAATTGTTGTTGTGAGTATGCAAATGTAAAACTCATGTTTGGTTAAAATCTCTTTCTCTCTTTCACAGAAGGATCTTCCATTGCCCAGGAAGAGCAGTGGGTGAGTGCATCAAATCTGCTTTATATGGAAAAGTTGTCTGTGGAATAATTTGATGGTATGGTGAGTAAAAGCTCATTTCCCAAAGACGATAAAAAAAAAAAACAACCTTTGACTTACGTTCATTTTTTAGTTAGCCTGTCAATTTTGGACCTTAATACTGATAAAAGTTGTAAATCTGAGACTGAATTTGCATGTAAACGTGATAATATCACTTGTTAAAGGAGATCTATTATGCAAAAATCACTTTTATAAGGGGTTTAAACAGTTGTGTGGCAGCACTGTGTGAATATAACCGGCATCTTATGGTAAAAATATATTAATTTTTTAAGGGAGAGATCGCCCCTAAGGGGCGGGGCTCTCCCCCCCTCTGATGACACGTACAAAGGGAGAATGTCAATCAAAGTGTTTCTGCAGACTGTTTTTATCAAGTGTGATTATAAATGAATAGAATTAATACATTTTTACTATTAGAAGCTGGTTATATTCACAGACTGCTGCCACACAACTGTGCATGAACCACTTATAAAAGTGATTTTTGCATATTAGGTCCCCTTTAAAATATTGTTCTTATCTGCCATTTGTTTTAAACCTCGTTTAACATGTTAATGATGTGTTGCAAATTCATTTTCGTTAATTTTGAAGTTATATTTAGTTTAGAATACCCTAGTTGTCTTATATACAGTTGAAAACAGAAGTTTACATACGCTCTAGAAAAGGAACATAACCATTTTTAAAATAATGTCTGATAGTAAATCATACTAAACGTTTACTATTTTAGGTCCGTTAGGATTACCTAAATGATTAACATTTGCTAAATGCCAGAATAATGAGAATTTTTATTTTTTGGAGAATTTTGGATTAATTTCTAGACAGTCAATAGTTTACATACATTTCCTTGGTATTTTTTTTTTTCTGCTTTGCTTTTAAACTGTATAACTTTGAGCAAATGTTTTGGGTATCCTTCCACAAGCTTCTCACAATAGTTTGAAGGAATTTTGGCCCATTCCTACTGACAGAATTGGCGTAACTGAGTCAGATTTGTTGGCTGTCTTGCTCACACAAGCTTTTTCAACTCTGCCCACAAATGTTCTATAGGCTTGACTCCAGGGCTTTGTGATGGCCATTTCAAAACATTCCCTCTGTTGTCCTTAAAGCACATTTGAACTAATGTGGCAGTATGATAGGGTGATGGTCTGTTTGGAAGACCCATTTGTGGCCAAGTTGTAATTTCCTGGCTGATGTCTTGAGATATTGCTTCAGTATTTCTACATAATAGGGATGTAACGGTATTGTAAATGCCGTCATACCGCAATATTAATTTTTTTCGATATTACCGTAGTCGCATGACTCGGTAAAACTATAGGTCTTCTGAGAAAATTTGCTCAGGCGAATGAAGCGAACGGGAGGTAGCGGAAACTACAATTCCCATCAGCCCTTGCGGTCTGTTGTCGCTACAGATACAGTAATGCGGAAATGGAGTGTGCTGCTAGAAGCGGGCATCAAAAAGAGCTGGAAATGATCGAACCTGAAGCGGGTGTTGTCGCCGCACGCGTACTGAATAGCCGTGTTGTCGCGCGCGTTCTGATCAGCTGTGTTGTCGCGCGCGTTCTGATCAGCTGTGTTGTCACGCGCGTACTGAATAGCGGTGTTGTTGCGCGCGTTCTGATCAGCTGTGTTGTCGCGCGCGTACTGTAAAGCGGGGAGGGGGGGTTGAGCGCGCATACTCAAGAGCGGTGTTGTCGCGCTCCTACTGAAGGGCGGGACGGAGGGTGTGACACAGCACACTGTTCAGATTGATACAGACATGAGATCTCTATCTCACTCATGGTTTGTCCTCTCAAGTGGGGGAAAGACAATGCACAACGTTACCCACTGCTGTCAACCTGGGCCAAGTCATATCTCTCTTGTCCCAGAAACCTCAGTCCCAAATGAGAGGGTTTTTTCTGTTGCAGGGGACATTGTAAACGCCCAGAGATACCAGCTTTTACCAGATTATATTTATATGATAATTTTCCTTAAAACCCATCTCTGTCTAAGTGAGTGAGTGATTAAATGTTGAATGTGAGTTTTCAACAATACTAAATTGAAACTTTATTTTTTTACATGGTTTAATAATTTTTTGTTATTAAAATTTAAGTTCCTGTTTAAAGCTTACAGATAGATGGCTAATTTGTATGTCATTGACACTTTTGGCACTTTTTTGGAGTATTTTCATAAGTTTAGTTTTTTCCTGTAAATGATTCAATAAATACCGTACCGTGACATTCATACCGAGGTATTACCGTACCGTGAAATTCTGATACCGTTACATCCCTACTACATAATGTTCTTTCTTCATGATGCCAACTATGCTGTGAAGTGGACCAGTCCCTCCTGCAGCAAAACAGCCCCACAACATGATGCTGTCGCCCCATAAATCTGGCTTGTTGATTTTCCCATGTTGTCACACAAGGAAACAGTGTGTTTGAGGATTTCCTTAAATGCTATTCTACAGTTGTGCCTCCAATCTACTCAAATGTTGTCAATTAGCCAATCAGAAACTTCCAAAACCTTGACACCATCATCTGAGCTTTTTCAGAGGCATAATAATCTTATTGTATGTAGACTTGACTTTCTAAAGAAGTTATAGCAATTTCTCAAAAACTCAAAAATCTGTTTCATTATTCTGCTATTAAGCATAACAGAAAAAAATCTGATCATTCTAACTTACCTAAAAGAGAAAAAGTTTAGTCACATTAACATCTGACCTTTTTTAAAAATGGTAAGTGCCTTTTTATACAGTGTATGTAAACTTCTGGTTTCAACTATAATAGCATTTCACAGTTAATTGTCAGTTTAATTAGGCTAATAATATGCGCAAAAAGTGTACCATATTTATCTAAATAAATAAAATGTTCTGGTTTAGTTTAGCGTTGCTGTCCGATGTAAAATCCAATCCTGAAATGAAGCAGAACCAGTTGTTGTGAATGAGGAGCTGGCCATGGTGCTGAACTCATCTCCCAGTGTGTGTTTATGCAGGCTCGTTTATTGCCTATATATAGTGGCAAAACACCTCCGTTTCACACATTTAGTGTGAGAGACTGTGCGAGTGTGTGTGGGCTTCATTATCTCCTGTGTGAGTTTGATTGTGTATCAAATGTTCTTGTTGTGATTAATTGCGATTTAAAGCTTTATCAGTATATAAGGTATATCCCAGTGGTTAGCGCTGTCACCTCACAGCAAGAAGGTCACTGGTTCGAGTCCAGCCTGGGGCAGTTGGCATTTCTGTGTGGAGTTTGCATGTTCTCCCAGTGTTGGCGTGGGTTTCCTCCGGGTGCTCCGGTTTCCACCACAGTTCAAACACATGCGCTAATAGTCATTTGAATAAACTAAAATTGTGCGTTGTGTATAAGTGTTTTCTAGTTCTGGGTTGCAGCTGGAAGGGCATCCGCTGCGTAAAACATAAGCTGGAATAGTTGTCGGTTCATTCCGCTGTGGCGACTCCTGATAAATAAGGGACTAAGCCAAAGAAAAATTAATAAATGAATGAATGGTATAAATACAATATAGAGCTAAACTGCATAATATATTGCTTTAACAGGTATAATAACAAAAACAGCAAAAACGCTTCATTGTATGCATATGTTCAGGGCAAACAGATATTTTAAAAAATGAAATTGCTAAGTAGGCAACAATTTACAATAAAGTCTTATTATTATGGCTTTAGACTGTCAGAGAAAAACAGTCATATACAACAAGGGTCTCCTGAGGGTGAGTAAATTATGGGGTAATTTTCATTTTTGAGTGAACTATTCCTTTGACAACAGACCTATAAAAATAGTCAGCTAAAAAGCCTCTCTGCAGAATAGCACACATAAATACAGCTCCTCTGATGTGTGTGTGTGAATATAACAATCTTGTTACACTGTAAAAAAATACCGGGTTTTAAATAATTCCTTCCTGTTGTCCCAAAATTTTCAAGATAGGCTCATTCTGAAAGCGTAGCCCTATATACATTTCTGGAGAACACAAATTATGTATCCAAAAGTACGTATGGCTGTAATTCATCTTTAAAACGAATGCTACAGGGCAGTATGAAGCCGTTCCTTGTCGCGCTTACCAGCTGACCACTTACCTCCACTTGGACTGCTTTCCCGCTGTTAGCAGTTTGTCCAGTAGCTGTCACATTCAGTGGGTGGGGAAAAAGAGCGAGGACTCAAGTAGAGTAAAAAATCGGTAGTTATTCATAATTTAAATAAAATAAAAAGCAAAACAAACTACCCCGACGGGGAAAACATTAACAAAACAAATAAAGAAACAAAACAAACTAGACTGGGCAGGCTGACAGGGATCAGGACTGGAACACACAACAGGACAAGGCAACATACGATGACGAACTGGCACAGGACACCAGACATGAGGAGAATATGAACAGAAATAATTAACAAACAAACAGGTGAATATGTTTGACGAAAGCAGGTGCTAATAGCACTCGCGATAGAAATTTGAGATCTCAAAAAGCGTACATAGCGCCCTCTGCTGGATTCGCGAAAACGAAAACTGCAAAAATTGTACCTCCTAAGACGTATTTGCCGCTCTCCAGAAGTGTATATAGGGGTACTTATCCATAATGAGCCTGGGTTGTATTTGTTAGATTGTAGGAGTGTGAAGAGATGTAGAAGGGTTTTTGTAGTTTCTTCTGGCAGCTATTAAGAAATAGATCTCTTATGCTCCGAGCAGGTCACGCTGTTTAATTGGGCTGATATAGTAGATTAATCAGCAGACGATCAATATGACATTTCCAGGACTGCTGAACCGCGTTGGCTGTAATCAGGATACAGTCTCACCACTGTCTGAAGCGACGTGACTTTCAGGATGTCTTACATCCGCAAAACCACACAGTCACTCTGGCACTGTTTTGTTTGGACACTGTAAAAAACATGGCAGGATTGCACACAATTCATTCATGTCATCCTAACACAAATTCATTAATTGAAGAAGATTGAGTATAAAACACTTAA